CCTCGCCCAGGTCCAGGTTATCATCGTCTGGCTCGTCCTCGTCCTCGTCCTCCTCCTCCTCGGCGCCGCTGTCCTCTTCGCTGCACTCCTCGTCCTCGTCGAACTCGTAGTTGTAGCCCTCGTCCGAGTCCATGGCGCGACGCGCGGGGGGCCCGGCTCGCGCTGGCCCTGAAGCGGGGAGAGGGCGGGGACGCCGAGGCTCCGGCTCTCGCTCCGGCTTCGGATGCTGCCCGAACGCAGGCCTGGCTCCGGCCCCGCGGGCCGCGGCTCCTCCCCGGGTGCGGCGGTTGGCGGCGGGGAGGGCGCGAAGGAGGGAGGGGGCGAGGGGGCCTTCTCGCTGCCCGCCTCAGTCAGACGCGGCTCCGCTCCGGCCTCCGAGAGAAAACAGTCCCCAGCGCCACCTCCACGGGCCGCTGCTACCGCTACTGAGCCAACAAAGGGGCGTGCGTCACCACGTACGCGCTGCGTCCTCGCGTCACTCCCCGGACGTCACCGCGCTCCGCCCCGCCGCCCCTGCGTGCAGCCCGAGGAGACCCCACGGCCGGCCCTCCTGGGTTGGGGAGCGTGTCCGCGTCGGAGTCGCCTTTTCGGTTCTGCTCGTGGACGGTCGCTGGCGCGGTCTGAGATTGGTACACACTTTGTGGAAGAGGCTGTGCCCTCTGTCACTGAGAGAGGCCCCTGGACTGCCCACGTGCTTGTTTGTGCCGCGTGCCAGAGCGTCCAGCCCCCTCACGCAATCCTGTGGGGAAGGCGGCCTTCCCGCCGGGACGCCCAGGCACTTCCCGCCTGCCCTAGGGTAATTCCAGGAAGCATTCCATCTGTAGCTAAGATTCCTCTTGCCGGGGCTACTTATTGGGAATCTCCTGGACGCGGTGCTTCAAAATCGTAGGCAAGTGAACCTCATTTTTGTTCTCTGGTTTTGCACACTTGTACAGATGGCGGTGGTGATCAAGTCTCCCCTAGTGACGTCGTGTTATAGAGTCCCTTCCAGAATTAAGCTCGCCAAACACCTATTATTGAGGCCCCTAAACAATGTAAATAGCAGTGACTATCATTAGCTGAGCAAAGTAAGGACAAGGGCTTTACCTATCTAAAGATAGAGCCAGGGTACCCATTTTATGCCCGAGAGACTGGACCAAGACCACAAAGCACTTGCATTGAGTTTTTAAAAAATGGTTATTTCATGATATGCATTGTATACTACTCATAGTACGTAATGCCATTAAAATACAAGGCAATAGGAGCAATAACCGAAATATCTAGTGAGGCCAAGTGGAACAGAGCAGAAGTGCTTGACTTTTAGTGGTTATGGGTTGGAACCGACTCCATGGCTGTGGGGTTTGGGTGCTTTTTGAATGTTGATGGGTGATCTGGAGTTCTCTGACAAAATGTAGGAAACTGTATCCACCTGGACAGGACAACAGAAGCAAAAGTCCAAAAGATATAAAATAGCTAGGAGTTTAAATAGCAAAATATTGGAAAGGTTAGGGGCCAAGTCAGTAAGAGCATTTGAAGGCATCCTAAAAATAGATTTCTATCTCCTTAAAGGAAAAAAAGAGCCAGGGAAATGTTCTGAACCAAGACAAAGTTTTAAAAAGCTCCCTCTTGAGATAACTTGAAGTAGTGGCCAAATTGAAAATCTTTTCAAATCTAGATGGCTAGTTTACTGAGAAACCTTCCTTTTCAACCTGTATGGTTCCGTTTGCAAAATGATTTTGAAAGGTGAAAAAAAATCCTTCATAATGTAAACCTCTACTGACTTGTCTATGTTGTAAATTTTAAATAATCAGATTTGTCTTAGACTACATAATCCAGGATTTGCCAATTTAAGCCATTAACATCAGGCTGGTGGGTATTGGCCCTTTTCTGTTTCTAATTAGCAGTTGTAGTAAACTGGACACTAGCAACCATTCTCTCCAACCTATTCTCTTTGCTAAAAAATTCTGTTACATTTGTCAAAACCCTAGACTCTTCTCTTCAATGTACTCCTAACTTGAGTGAACTCAACCCCCCATATTCTACCTTTGGTACCAGAGCACTGTTGGGGAAATTTACATAACCACCCACTTTCTGTTTCAAAAATCCTAATCAATAAGTACAACTGATCCATCAACACTGCCCAGCAATACTATTAACTCTTTCCGAATTGCTCTCCTACTCCAGGCAACTCTCTGGAATTTTCACCAGTTTCCTTAAACGCCCAACTGAAGGGAGTTTTTCAGTCCTCTCTAAGGAGACAGCTTACACATAGCTAAGTAAAAAGTATTGCTATTAGGAGTTTATTCCAAACAAAACATGTTTGAACATGTCTCAACCATCAGTGGATGGCTGCCTACAAATTCTTCAGTAATGTACAACTAAGTCTCACTTTCATTAAAGTGCCTTTAAAAAGATTCAATCAAAAGTGCCATCTGAGGGGATTTACTGTGCTGGGTCAGCTCGTTATGGGGACTTATATGGGATTCCCACAGGTCATCTTGATAAGATTTTTTTTCTCCCTAAGGACATGGGACAATCATAGGGGCTTATTAGGAAGAAATTAAAGGAACTTGATAAATGCATTGATGGGAAAAGATCAGAAAACTTATACTGAATAATTTTATCCTAGGGTTGAAAGGACTATCCTAGGAGAATTTCCTTGAGAAACTTTACTCCATTTACCCTATAGGGCTGATCTTGCCCCTTGAGACTTGTTTTTGTTTCTAAAACGCAAAAGAACATTAAAAGGAACATGATTTGAGTCCCTCACAGATGTCAAAACTGAATGGTATAAATTGAGCACAGAATTATTTGGGCAAGGGTTAGAGAGAGGGAAACCCAAGTTTCAGTCTTGTCCAGACCTTGATGGAGTATACTGTATGTCAAGAAACAATAGCTTCACACTTTGATACTTTTGTTCAGTAAAGGCTTCAGTGATTTTGTGACAATACTTTTTACTTACCCTTATATACAGAAATCTGAAATCATCAGGATTAAGGTGACCAAAGCAAGCTGAGCAAAGGAGAGTGTAATGGTACAAAGTCGGAGAAGGCAGATTTTAAAAGAGCAGTCTTCCAAGAGGGCCTTATACATACATATACACCATTGTAAGTTCACATTATTGAAATGGAAAGAATTAAAAGATTTTAAGCAGAAGAGCCAAGTTATCTTACCTGTGTTTTTCAAAAGTTAATTATGGCTACTTTGTGGAAAATGGACTATGAAAGCAGAGACCACTTATGAGCAGTCCACGTGAATAATGATAATGGCCTTGGAATGAGGTTAGAGCAATGAACGTGTTTAGAAGCAGTCAGATTCAGATTAATATGAATGCAGAGCCAACAGATTGATGTGCAGATGTCTTGTGTCTAGGGTCTATAGAAGGAGGGATCTAGGAGACCTTCTAGTGTTAGGGCTTGAGTAGCTGGGTAAATGGTTGCCATTTCCTGAAGCACCTTGAACTTGAGTTGTGTGTTCCACAACCATGTGGAGATGTTGAGTAGGCAGTCTCATGTGCTACTGTACAAGCTGGAAGATTGGGAAAAGTTAAGGCTAGAGGTAAAATTACACCAGCGTTTATGTTGACAGTGTGGAGAAGTCATATAGGATAGATGTTAAGAACGTGGGTTTTGGGAAGGACATACCTAAGTTTGCCTCAGCCCCTCAGTTGCTTTCTGTAAGCTCAAGCAAATAACTGAACCTCTCTGTACTTCAATTTAGAAAACTGTAATTCCTATTCTCGTAGTAGTATTTGCAAGGATCAAATGAAATCATGTATTTGAAGCACTTGACACATTGCCAAGAACATAGTGGTGTTTACAAGATAAGAACTTAAAAAAAAAGTGCAATAAGTCACCTCACACCTTGTGGAAAATGTATGGCCAATTGGATTTGGATTTATTGTAATTCTGCCAATATATACACTGTCTGTGTCACGTTCATTTTCATGGGAAGAAAAATTGATTTGCTTTTTCTAGGAACTCTTTCCATGGTTTCAAGACCTCTTTTTTTGGTTAATATCATGAACAATATCATGTGTGCTTCTGAATTATAGTTCTGGGGTTCTTATTCATCAATAAGTTTTCATAACTAGATTCTCAGCACTATTAATTTCATTCATATTTTATCAGCTATGTTAGATGCAGGTTAGTTTATGGTGTTATTTAAATCCAGATTAGATTATGGTGTTGTTCAAGGTAAACCAGTATAACAGCTTCTCTCTAACTCCAAATTGGCCAAGGGATGGATGATGCAATACAATGTTGTTGTTTATTTTGTTTTGTTTTAATGACTTATGCTTAAAGGAATTGCTGGTTACTGCTCTCTTAGTTATGATGATTGTTGGGTGTGAGTTCAGTAGTGTTTGTAAACAACAAGAAAAGGTCCTTATAAAAGAATAGACAAGTTAGTTATACTTCCTTTATCACAGATTCATCACTGCCAGCAGTTAAGGACCCTTTGTCCTCATAAAAGGATCCCTAGTGGCATAGTGTGTTATGAATTGAACTGCTAACAGCAAGGTCAGCTGTTCAAACCTATCAGCTGCTCCACAGAGAAAGATGAGGCTGTCGACTTCTGTGAAGATCTAAAGGCTTGGAAACCTGAGGAGGCAGTTCTCTCTTGTCCTATAGGGTCATTGTAAGTCAGAATGGACGCAAGTGCTGTGAGTTTGGCTTTTTTGGTTTTGATTTCCTGTCTCCATATCCTGGTAGGGTTAAAATAGATATACATGTATTTCATGAGCAAAACTCCATAAATAATTTATTATTTTTTTTAATCCTTTTCTTTTTTAAATAAATGGCCCCAGGGATAAGGGAGGAGGGATGGGAGGAGGGGAAGCACGGTCCCACCATAAATAATTTATTATCTTGACAAATGGTTAAGAACTAAATACCAAATACCAAAAGGAAGAATATTGCAGGTGCTTTTTAGATGAAAAGATTAAAATAACACTGCCAGCTAGTAGAGCTGTAAGCTTTGGGAAAGCCTTTAGTAATGACACAGCTCTAGAAGGACCCACCATCCTAATTGGCCCATGACTGAGGGATTTCCTGGGACATGGACCTTTCAGTGTTACAAATAGGAAGTCCCAGGCAAACTAGCACAATTGGTTGCCCTGCAGGGCCAAAAGCACAACTGCCACTGAGTCAATTCTGACTCAAAGCGACCCTGTAGGACAGTGATAAACTGGTCCCCCCCGCGTTTCCTAGGCTGTCAATCTTTATAAGGGAAAACAGCCTCATCTTTTTTTCACAAGCACTTGGTAGGTTCCAACTGCTAACCTTCTGGTTAACAGCCCAGACTCTTGGTATGTATGAAATTAAAGCATTGCCTCCAAAAACAAATGAAAAGAAACTGCTTTTTGTAATTAAAAAATAATAAAACCTGTTTTAATGCAGCTTTCTCTCTCTCTCACATTATAGGTGTCCCCTTGTATTGCCAGGCAAGAGGTAAGAAAATTAAAATTAAATTTTAATGTGAGTTTAATTTAAAATTATATTTTAGCAAAAGCACCCCAAAAAGCAATACGCAAATTATGTTAATGAATAGTTTGCATTTCTTTTAAAACACGTCCCTCTAATTTTGTTACAAACACCAGTTAAGTGTTGCACCATTATTGAGAAGCAGATCTTACTACACAGTTCTAAGTGGTAAATAATAATAAGGCATAGCAAAATTTGAGGTCTGATAGTAACCAGAATAGAATCCCAGTCATATTCCTGACTGCTGGCTCTTTTTCTGAGATAATGCTGAACTAGAACTAGAGTCCAGTAATCATGTAATTAGACCACACAAATGCCCTGGAGTAGTAACCTACTGACAGAAATATAGTTTGTCTTTTACCTCAGGGTAGGGTATACTTAAGCCATCCTGGAATATTGGTTATCTTCCCATTCCTAAATATATTCTTTTTTTTTTTTTTTCCTAAATATATTCTAAGACAAACCCTTAAACCGCTTTGATGGTAGTGCCACACAATACTTACAATTAAAGTCACTTTTCCCATCTAAACTCCTCAACATATAACATAAATAATAGTTGTAGCAGACACTCAGGTACTCCCATTGGAGAAAAAGTTAGCTTTATGATCTTGAACTTGAAAACTAAAGCTTTATGTACTTACTCATGATATAGCATTGACCTCCACAGCTCAGAGTACAAAACTGGAGAATAAGGAGATGTTACTCCTACTCGCACAGTTCCACTTTAT